ATGTTAACCCATGTAATCCTTATCACAGACTTGTGAGGGAGGCGCTGTTGTCATCCGCAGTGTATAGAGGACGACACTGGGGCACAGAGAGGGAGAGTGAAATGCCCACATTTGCACAGCTGGTGAGTGTTAAAGCTGTGTCAGAACTCACAGATGGGCTTCCAGATCCTGTGTTCACCATTCAGCTCTAGTGCCTCCCGTTCGTTCGTTCGTTCGTTCGTTCATTCATTCATTCATTCATTCATTCATTCAGGAATTGCCTGCTGTGGGCCAAGTGCTGGAGTAGGAGCTGTTAGTATAGTTCTGTGTCTTATCACCCTAAGAAGCCCACGGACTAGGGGAGGAATTGAATACTTCTATAAATAACTCTAGGTTGGCATATTATTCTGGTCTCAGAAATGACCTCCGGGGAGCACAGGGAAACACAAACTCCCTACTAGCCGAGGCCCTCTGAGGTGAGGCTGGCCAGGCTCTGCTGAGTTCTTGGGAACCATCAAAGGAAAGAGAACGGACAGGCAGGAGAGACACTGTTGAATGCCTTTTCGGGTGTCCGTGGAATCCTGCCGACTCCTCTTACATACATTCGCTTTTGCAGTCCTCCCAGCAATTCTCTGAGAGAGCACTATCTCGATCCCCATTTCGCAGATGAAAACCTGGAGGATTTTTGAGGTTGAGTGAATTGCCTTAAGGCAGCCCTGGAGGTAAGGAGCGGTCCTTAGGTGAAACCTGTGTATTAGACCCATAACCTCTCTACTGCCCTGACCACTTCCCATCCCATGATGTTCCTGTCCCCTGTCCTGAAAGGTCGGGGTCAGGCTGAGTCTGTCTGTGACAAAGCATAAAGAGAAAGACATTTTTGATTAACAATATTTATGGGAAGATGCCATTTTTGTGTGTTTCTCTGTGCAAGAAATGCCATTTGGAAAGTCGGTGTGCATGTCAGTATTTTTTCATTCTGAGAAAAAGCCTATAGAGTCTGGTGGGGGGAGGGTTTGCAGCTGGCAGGAGCTTTGGCATATGTTGTAACTAAAAAGAGAGGGAACGTGTTGGTGGGACAAGCTACCGGAGAGCTGTCTCGGTGTGCCGCGGTACTCGTAAGTGTTTTAATTGGGTAGGGTTTTTGGAGGACTATTTTGACATCTGCTCGTGTCTTTGCTGATTTTTCTTCACTTAGAGTAGGAAACACAAGCTGTGGATAAAATGACTTTAAAGTAATTGGAAGTAAAGATATCTCCCTCAAAGTCGAATTTGAGAGGGACACTTTTTAAGAAGTGGAAAGTAAATTCCACTTCTAGGAACCTGTCCTAAAGCCCAAGGCGTTATGCCTACAAATTTGATGACAATATTATATATAAAAATTTCTTAAAAACTGGCGATCACAGCCAGCAGGAGGGGCTTGGTCGAGTTAGTTTCCACGGTGTGGAACGTTTTGTAGCAATTAGTAGTGATCTTCACGAAGTTTTAAATGAAGCGGAGCATTCGTATCTTGTAATAAAAGAGAACCAGGAAGAAATATTAAGAATTATTTTAATGATATTTTTTAAGTAAGGATCGAGGTGAAAGGATATGGAAGGAAACATCAAAACATGATCTCCAAATGGAGGGATGAGGGTAACTATACTTTCCTTCTTGGAAATTTTTTGTCTACTCCCCCCTCTTTTTTTTGAACAGGTGCATGTAATTTTTATGATACTAAAGGCAGGTGTTTTTTTATGTAAGAGAAAGCTCGACCTGAGAGTATTCCTATAGCTTCGTGCCCTTCAGGTTCTTATTCTGAGGTCAGAGCGGTTGGATTTGAGATGTCTTCAGAAATAGTGAGCCTTTCGAGTCAGAGTGGGTTCAAAAGTTGGTTCTGCCACTCACTAGCTGTGTAATTTGGGGCAGTTTATTTGACATCTCCAAGCCTTATTTTCTCATCCCTACCACGGAGATGGTAGTATCTGCCTCATGGCACAGTTGGGATTAAATGAGCTGGCACCCAGTAATGGTCTAGCTTCCTCCTCCATCAGCTCTTCCCACCACCCCCCCACCACCCCAATGTGAAAGTTTTTGTGGGGTTGGTTTTTTGGGGGGGTGGGGGAGGTGGGGAGTTGGCCTTTCTTCATTGCTCTTATTTCCTAGAGCCTTTCAGGGATATGGCACCATCCGGCTGAGCTGGCCTCCAATTCTTTCCTTGGGAACACTGAGCTTCAGGAAGGCCCTTGAGTCTACGCCAGCCTCTTTGGAAGAGGCCTTGCTGCCAGGAGGGCAGCATTGTCCTATAAGAGGAAACTGTGCCGACCCAGCTCCTGCCCGGAGCCTGGTGCTTGGGCATTTTGGTTACTAAGGGGACCCTGGCCTGCTAAGTCAGAAAAAGGGTCCAGGTTTTTTCCTCTTCTTCAGCCTGCTGCCATTGTTGAAAAAGTAAACACTCCACGCAGCTTAACCGGCAAGCCCTCCAGCCAGGAGTGGGAAGAAATCAAAAGCCTGTTGCAGGCCAGGCTGTGGAGAGCCCACAAGGGCCGGTCCATGCTGCTGGGGCCCCGCTGGGAACACAGAAACAACGCCCGATTCTGGTCTAGAATCAACATCCCTCTTGCTGGGCCTTTCAGCCCCTGGGGCTTCTCTCCAGTGGCCAAGCCCCCTGTCCCCTCCTGTTTGGGACTATTTAGAAGGTCAGATGAGACAGAATAGGTGATTCTGGGGTGCAGTGGCCCTCAGCGCAGTCCTCCAGGCCTGGAGTCCCCCGCTGAGTCATGGAGTTCTTTGCGGTCCTGTCTCCAATTCCGTTTCTGGTGTCTCAGCTTTTGAGGTGAGAGTCCATTAGCTACCAAGACGGGGCCAGAGGGTTTTTGCCCTTAGGCTATTGGCACCACGGCTTTCAGCTTTGCTGTAGCTGATGTGTGAATTATGAAAGTAATAATACTAGCCACTATTTACAAATCCTGTGTGCCTAGCACATATTGCCTCTCATCCCTCATGGCAGCCCAGGGGGAAGGGGTTTAAGGAGGGTGGTCACAGTCATCTGACCAGTTTTACAGATGAAGTAGCCAAACCATAGCTGCATAATCCAGGGCAAGCCACTTTACCTCTCAGAGCCTCAGTTTCTCATTCCTGCAGTGGGAATGGTGATACTTTGTCTCCAGCTCCATTGTTGAAAATGAAAGAACCTGTGTGAGCTCTGATGGGTGATGTGAGTGACAAAGATGGTTGTTGAGGCTGTCTGTGATTTCCTGCTAGCACTGCTAGCTCTTCACTCTTTTGGACTGAAAAATGAGGTGGCAACGGAGCTCTGGACAGTTCACCGTGAGTCTTAATGTTCTCATCTGAAAAATGAGGATTGTGCTTTATGAGACCCTAGTGATTTGTATTATTATCAAGGCTGTTTGTTGATAGGTTTTTACTCTGTAAAAGTTTTACTCTGTAATTAATGTTTGGAGGGGAGAATAAACTTGTTAGTCGGCAATCTTGTGTCTCCTCTGCTGTTCTTAGCCCATGGTGAGCCCTTAAGGAAATGTTGATGAATGGATTGAAAGGCTTGTGGGCTAGCCCCTGCTGGCACCGAAAACTCAATAGCAAAAGGAGTTTGAGGCTCTTTGGTGTGTTAAGTGGGAGGGTTCCAGGATTCTGCCACTGGGGACCATTTTTCAACCCTAGGCAGCTTCTGACCAGCTCAGCTCCACCCTCCTGCTGGGACAGATCTCAAAACATTCTAGAGACTGGGGTTTGAGAGAATGTTGGTTTTGCAGCCATTGGGGTGGTCCAGCCCCATCACTTGACTGTGCGGTTCTCTTGGGTGAATTAGGAAAAGGCATCTATCTCCTCCCTCCCACCATCACCACCCCTGACGCAGATGCACAGCTTAGCCAATTTCAGCCCCAGCTGGCTGGTGGGACGTCCCTGGGCAGTACACACCTGCACAGTTATATGCAGTGCCTCAGAGAGTAGCTAATAAATGGATCCCTCGTATATGTAAGGTGACTTTGGATGTCTTTTGCCCTGGCATGATATGCCCTGTTTCATACCCACAAGTGTTCCAGTTTGGACCACGAATGATAAGGTCTTCCTAATTAACTGGGGCCAAGTGAGATAAAGACAACAGCTGTGAAGTTCTAGACTCTAAAGGAATGGGCTTTGATCTGTGATAAGACAAGAGGGTTGAATAAGATTGGAAGCGGTGGGTAGGTGGGAGAAAACTGGAGGGAGATTCTAGTTGTGGGTGAATAGTGCAATTAAAAATTAAAAACCCAGGCTACATGCCATCTCGTACTTCTACAGACTATGGAGAGCTGCTCCCAGATGGTGGGCTTTTCCTTTCTCCATATCTTAGCTATCCCTTCCTCCCCATGCAAACACGCACACCTAATAAGCATATCTCCCTTACCCTTTCCGTTACTGCGCCAATAGAGTGATGGCCTTGACTGACTTGCTAGGTTTCTGTGGAAAATGGGACCAAACTGAAAGCGTGACCTTCCTCCTCCATGTTTAAGGGAAATGTTGACATGTTAACACTAGTCCATAGACTATATTCCATCCCGAGAATGATAAGATCCAAAAGACAGATGGGCAAGTGGCTTTTGGTAGGTGAGAGGGGATGGATTGAAGGGTGTCATTAGGGCTTGGCTGTACATCAGAGTTCCTGGAGCCAGAGCTTTAGGGTACAGCTCCTAGTGTTAAAAAAAAGAAGAAGAAGAAGAAGAAGAAGAAAATATAAGAAAAAAGTTGGGGTGTAAAGATCTCTCTTCTTAGCTGTGTGACCTGAACATGTTAACTTAGTCATCTTCATCCCCATGAAACCCTGTCCACTGCTGGGACTTAGGGAGTACCATAAAGCCCCCAGAGTTTTGTGATAGTTAAAAGGCCTAAGAAATGTGAACCACCTAGCATTGGGCCTGCCACAAAATGAGCCTTTGTCAGATGTCACTGTTTTCCTTATTCTGCTTCCCCGGAGAGGGCCAGTGGAAATCTCTGTCCTCATGGTGCTTCAATTATTTTTTCTTTCGGAATTTTTTTATTTGCAGAAAGTCAGAAACATGGCCCTGGATGATGTCGTGATCCTCAACGTGGACACCAACACGCTGGAAACTCCCTTTGATGATCTCCAGAGCCTCCCAAATGATGTGGTGGGTAATGAGCTCTTGAGGTCTGACTCCTATGAATTCGGGCAGTGGACATGAACATGACTTTCGAGAAGGGAAAGGAGGGGAAACAGTCGTGGTTTTCCTGTGGCCTAAGAACTGCAGTTTGTCTGTCTCTCTGCTGTGTCTGCCACCTTCATCTCAGTGAAGGGAAGTTGGAGGGTGGTTCATTTTTTTCAGTCTTGCTTTGCTCTCATAACGTGCATCTGGAGGGCTACGTAGTGATCTCAGCGTCTCATCAGCTCCTCTTTCTGTGGGAGCCTGGGGGTCCCTCTCTAGCACATTGCCACATCCAGAGGACAGGACAGCTTCCCCTGAGCAACCTCAGAGGGCTTCCTGTGTGAGCGATACGGGACAATTCAGATATACATTTCTTTCCTGGACCATCATCAAGCAGCCATTTTCCCAGGTAGCAGGATATCTGCTGCCAGTGTCCTGAATGAGGCACTTTGTCCCATAAATCTTCAGTACCTTACGTCTAGACAGATAGTAGGCTCTCTTTAGCAAAAGCAACTGGCTGCCACATTTGCAACACTAACACCTGACCACATACCTGTCTCAACATTGCTACTCAGACTGCCTCATGGGCAGCTGGTCGAAGTAGACCCAGTCTCCCCCATTGTCCACAGGAATGAGGAGGGTTGGGGCTCACTGGGAAATGCAGTGTGATATTGATATTTCTGGTGTGACCTACATGGCTCTGTCTGCTGGAGGATCTATAAAATGATTCTGACTTCCAGACTGAAGGGAGTAGATGTTCCTGGCCATATGTGCTGATGTGGGATTGGGTTTGTGCTGCTGGGTGTGTGTCATGGCAGGTGGAGCTGCATTCCTGCCAGGAATCCCTGTGGCGCTTCCGGGTTAGCTTTCTGGAAGAGATTCTGCTATTTGTTGATGAATGACTTGCAGCATGGTTTCAAATTCCTCCACCCTTAACTCCACATAAGATATAGGGAAGTCATTTGTGCTACATAAAGATGTTCTTTGGTGCCTAAGTGGCTCAGTCAGTTGAGCGTCTGACTTTTGATTTTGGCTCAGATCATGATCCCAGGGTCACAGGATGGAGCCCCATATTGGGCTCTGCACTGGGCGTGGAGCCTGCTTAAGATTCTATCTTCCCCGCCTCCCACCCCAACTCTGCTCCACTCCCCTGCTTGTGCATGCACTTGCTCTCTCTCTCAAATAAAAATAAAAAAAACAAAATTTAAAGATGTTCCATTTGTAGTCTAATTAAACAATGGCTACCATTCATTGACTTCCTATGTGGTAAGCACTATGCTAAGAGCTCCTATTGACCCCTCATTTCCTCTTCACAGTGCTCTGAGGAAGGCATTTTCCTTATTCTTGCTTCACTCACAGAGATAGAAAGAGGAAGAGCCAGGAAGTGAACCCAACTCTGGCTCTCCTGAGAGCTGCCAAGCCCCACGTCCTCTCTGGGGCCATCCGCATTCAGGGATCGCATGCATTTGGCAGTATAGCCCAGTGGAGTAGGTGTTCTCTCCTTTACGTGGGGGAAATGAGCCTCAGAGCCTGCTGTAAGTCATACGACTGGCTGGGGCAGAGCTGAGATTGGACAGCACCAAAGCCCGCACTGCCTCCTTTCCTTGTACACTGCCCCCCACCCCTTCTGAGGCAGACAGATGGCAGAAGCAGGAACAAGGAAAGGACCAGACACTGTGAGGTTAGCTATTCATGTCAAGACAGTGTATGGGCTCGGGATCCCAGGGCCTCTGGACCGTAGTTTGAAATGTTGGTCCTAAGAGTGTGTGGTCTCCACCCTGGATCCTTTCTAGGGAAAAGCCTTTCCCTTAATCCATGGGTGCCATATGTATGGACCTGGCAGTTCCTGAGTGGATATTCTAAGTGAGCCTGAGGTATCAGGTGCTAGGAATGGCCAGGGGCCTAGGGCAGCCCAGAATGCCAGGCTGGGAGCTAGGAAACAGTGGGGTAGACTGGTCCCAGCTGCACTGCTCTGGCCCAGTTCTGGCATCAAGCAGCAAAGATGAAATAGATCTAGTCCTTTCCTTCAAAGAGGAAAGTAGGGGAAACTGATACATAAATTACACATATATCATGATATAGCCTAAAAGGGGCCACAAGAGACGTCCTCGCCTCCATTTCTCCCTCCACCGCCTAATCCAGGCTCTTTTTTCTCTCCCTGCACCATTAACCAGCAGCCCCTGAACTTGCTCTTCTGACTCCAGCCTGTCCTCCTCTTGCACCAGAGCGACCTTTCCAAAATTAAATTTAACTGTATTTCCCTCTTAAAACTACTCCACTAATGAACATAATTAAAAAGCAAAAACAACAACAACAAAAAACCTTTGAAAAACAAAATATCCTCCCATTACCTCCCAGTGCCTATAGCTTAGAGGCAAATTCCTCTCGTTGGCTTTGAAATCAGACGTGTTTCAATCCTGGCTTCTCCACTTACTAACTGTGTGATCTCTGTCAAAATTACTTTAGCTCTCTGAGCCTTCATTTCTTCATAGGTTGTTGTGGGAATTGAAGGTAACGTATATAATATAGTAAGACATACATCCTACGAGTGTGATAGATGGTAGTTAGTGATAATGATTATGGATGATGGTCTATGTATATTTACGATGAGCATGGCATTCAGGGTCCTTCATGTTCTGATGGTCCTGGTTTTCTTCTATAGCTTTAGCGCTCTCCCTTCCCAGCTCCAAACCCTGTATTATACATAATTGGAACTGTTACTAGTTCTCCAAACCTTGCATGTTATTTTATAACTTCAAACTTTGCATATAGAGTTGATTTTTTTTCCCCAAATGGCCTACCCCACCTGTCAATCTCCTCCTCAATCTTCAAGAGTTACTCTAAATGTAAAACTATAAAAACCTTCCCTGGGGCACTTGGCTGGCTCAGTTGGTATTGCATACAACTCTTAATCTCAGGAGTTTAAGAGTGTGAGTTCAAGCCCCACATTGGATGTGGAGCCCACTTTAAAAATAAAAATAATAATAATAATAAATAAATAATAAAAATAAAAAACCTTCCATGACCTCTCCAAGTGATTTGACTGTATCTTTCTCTTTGTGTTCACAGCCCACACAAACACTTGTGTTTGTGTTGCTTGTATATTTCCCACCCAACTGTATAATTTAGTGTACACTTCTGGCTTTCCCTTTTAAAATTTTATGTTTGTTTATTTTAGAGAGAGAAACAGAACATTAGTGAGGGAGGGGAAGAGAGAGAGGGAGATACAGGATCTGAAGCAGACTCCAGGCTCCGAGCTGTCAGCACAGAGCCCTATGAAGGGCTCAAACCCATGAACCTTGAGATCATGATCTGAGCTGAAGTTGTATGCTTAGCTAACCCAGGCGCCCCTTCCATTTAATTGTGACTTTATTAAGGATAGGAATCAGGTTTTATTCATCTTTGTTTCCCAGAGATGCCACAGCCACTGAATAGATAGAAGGGCAGAAGGGACATATGGATTGGGTTATTTTGGTAGATGAAATCTTGCAAAACATGGCACCCATGCTGGAAATTTTATTAAAGGAAGGCCTTTGTTCTGCTTATAGCCATGATGGAATAATTGGAACTGGCTTTATTCTCCCACCATTAACAACTATAACCCTGGACAAATTTAAAAACAATGGTTTTCACATATTAGACAACAGGCAGTCTAGGACTTTGATTCCTGAGAAAAAGGAAGCAAGTGAGGTGAGGCCCGCCATTCCCCTGGCTTTTGGCCTTGAGGCGTTTCTGGACCATGGTGCCAGGAAGGGGGTCCGCAGCAAAACACAACTGTCTTCAGAGTCGAGGGATCAGAAAGCTGAGTTTAAGAGAGAAGTGGTTTAAATCTGTGGGTCAGAGTACCAGACTGGAAGAAGCCACTCATCAAAAAAAGTGCTCCAGAAATCTAACTCACATCCTCTTGACCAATGTGCTGAAGACTGACCTGCCCGTGTGTAGGGTGGAGCTCACGCAGACTCTGACCAGCCAGAGTAAGATCTTGTTGATCTCTCAGGACAGTCGTTAGAGACCGCCAGAGACCATGCCTTGGTAGTACTCTAAATTCGCTCTAGAGTCAAGATTATTTTAGCCTTGTCCTAACCAAGGTTAAAAGCAAGTCTTGAGAAGCAATGAGAGAGGGCTTCAGAGATGCTGACAATGTGCTGGGCATTTTTTGTTTTGTTTTGTTTTGTTTTGTTTTGTTTTTTTAATCTGAGTACCAGTTACATGGGCAGGAATTCATTCATCAAGCTGAACACCAATGTCATGTGTATGTTACATATTTAACCCTCAATAAAAGTTTTAAAACGATGTCTTGAAAAAGAAAAAGTCTTGAAAGGATCAACCTGATATGCAAGGAATTTAACTTCCTGTCAAAATAAACGACAAGTCTCTTTAAAAGAAGACAGGAGGGACACTGGCTGACTTGGTCACTGGAGCGTGCCACTCTTTGCCTCAGGGTTGTGAGTTCAGGCTCCGTGTTGGGTAGAGAGATTACGTTACAAAAGTAATAACAAAATCCACACCCAACAATGTAACATTCACAGTATCTGACATCCTGTTTTAAATGTACGAGAAATGTTGAGATCAGAAAAAATGTAACCCATAACAAAGAGGAAAACCAGTAAAAGAAACACACTCAGAAATGGCAGAAATGGTGGAATTAGCAAAGATCTTGAGATGTAAGGATTATAAATCAATATGCTAGTGAATTTAAAGGAAGACTTGAACTATTTGAGAAGAGAAGTAGAAAATTTTAAAAGAATGAAAAAGAACTTGTAGAGGTGAAAAATAGAATACCTGGAATGAAAATTTCATTGATAGGATGAAGAGGATATTAGACACCACAGCATAAAAGTTCAATGAACTTGGGGCGCCTGGGTGGCTTAGTCGGTTAAGCGTCCGACTTTTGCTTAGGTCATGATCTCGCGGTTCGTGGGTTCGAGCCCCACGTCGGGCTCTGTGCTGACTGCCAGCTCAGAGCCTGAAGCCTGTTTCAGAGT